TGCAGTTCCCACTATCTCTGATTCGATTTTAAGCTCACTTTCCTGATTTTTTTTCCCTTTTTCTTAAGAGTCTTGTAGATTTCTTCTCCTTGGGTGGGGCTCAGGTCTGCACTGCTGCTGCCATGTGGTTGGTGCTTTCCTGAAGGATCGCTCCTGGCATCTTGTAGTATTTGCCACTTCAACCAGCTTTGCCACTGGGTAAGAGTTCTTTCGGGTAGTTCACTGCCACCAATCCTCCTTTGCCTTTGCTTTGTCTTGGACCTATCCACTGGTTAGTGATGGAGGATACATCATTGTCATGTATCTATATACAAGGCATTGTTCTTTGATAACTGGAAGGTTTATAGCATGATGGCAATAAGTATGAGATCCTTAGATGGTAGCTGCTGATACATCTGCTCTGTCCGAAAGCTACAGTATAAACGCCTAGTCTCCACCCACAGACTGTGTGTAACATCAGAAGGATGAGTTGTGATGATGCTTAAACTTGTGGCTTTAAGAGGTTATTTTTCTGTTTTTTTTTTTTTTAAAAAGGAAGATTTTAAGACAGAGGTACCGAGCTGTCTAGTTAGAAAGCCAGTAATATAACCAGCTTGGGAGGCCTTAGGTTATTTTTTGAAAAGTTGGAACAATAGAAGCAGCCTGGATGGGTGTGGTCAAGCTCCCACAGAACCAGGATTTTTAGTTTTAGCTTTCAGCAGATGCTGTTGGGGTCTTGAAGAAGAAGTGGAAATTATTTTTTCCCCTCTCTTGCTAACAGCCAAAAGCTGGGGGTTCTCTGTTCTACACGCAACACCCATTGCAGGCACTGTGTTTTCTGAATTTGCCTTTTGCCAAGGGTGCGCTTATGGGATGTTACTCTAATTAATTCGTAATAGTTACTGTATTTGTTATTCTGTTATATTTTCCAAGAGAGTTATTCTAATTTCTTCTTTCTTTTCTTGTATTTTAACTAATGTGGATAAATAACGCGTGTTTTGCTTTAAGCCCATGGGGAAGGCGATAGCCTAGTGGTATTATCGCTGGACTGTTAATTCAGAGACCCAGATGACGTTCCAGGGACCCAGGTTTGAATCCTGCCACAGCAGATGATGGAATTTGAATTCAATAAATATCTGGAATTAAGAATCTAATGATAACCATGAATCCATTGTCAATTGTCAGAAAAAAAAACTGATCTGGTTCACCAATGTCCTTTAGGGAAGGAAACCGTCATCCTTACTTGGTCTGGCCTACATGTGACTCCGGACCCACAGCAACATGGTTGACTGGGCAATTAGGGATGGGCAATAAATGCTGCCTGGCCAGCGATGCCCTCATCCCGTGAATGAATAAAGGGAAATTAAAAATCCAGTGATTTGACCAATTGAATTGCATCCAGAACACAGCACCTTTAAACTACGAAAAAGTTAGGGTCTAGACTATCTTCTGAATATGTTGAGGGGGTTTCAGTCTGGTCCATAACAGAATGCAGACAATTAATATGAACATTAACTCCTTCAGAACCACTACCCTATACAACATCTCCCAGGCCACATACAGTGCAGGGTTAGATACAGAGTAAACATAGAAACATGAAAAATAGGAGGAGGCAATTCAGCCCTTCAAGCTTGCTTCACCGTTAAATGTGATTCTGGCTGATCATCCAACTCAGCACCTTTTTCCCCCATTTTCTCCCCATACCCTTTGATCCCTTTAGCCCTGAGAATTATATTTAACTCCTTCTTGAAATATAGGTCAGAGCAGAGTAAAACTCCTCTACATTTTTAAACAGAAAGTAAATGTCATTCTACCTGTTCTCCATCAAACATTCCCAGGACAGGGACAGCATGGGGTTAGATACAGAGTAAAGCTTCATCTACTCTGTCCCCATCAAACACTCCCAAGGTTAGAGACAATACAATATTAGCTACTGAGTAAAGCTCCCTGTACTCTTAAACTGAAAATAAAGCTTCCTCTACACTATTCCTTTCAGACACTCCCAGGACAGGGGCAGCACAGGGTTAGATACAGAGTAAAGCTTCCTCTACACTGTCCCCATCAAACACTCCCAGGACAGGATTAAATACAGAATTAAGCTCCCTCTACACTGTTCCCTCATCAAACAGTCTGTAGAACAGGTGCAGTGTAAAGCTCTCTCTACACTGTACTTGAACACTCATGTTCTAATTGGAACGCATTATCTAACCTGTGAGACCAACAAATCTGTGCAGAGAGAAACAGAGTTAATATTGGTAATAATTTATTGTACCATGTATTTATGAAAATACACAGTGAAGTGTGTTTAAGCCGGTAGTATTTTAATTACATAAAGTAGAAAAAGAAATAAATCACACAAATCACATGGCTTCTTGGTTTCCTAAGTGGCTACAGATGTTGCCACCAAAAACTGTTCCCTGAGGATACAACACCGAGGGAGGAAGCACGCTGAAGCAGCCCCAGTTGACCGGACGGAGAACACCGCTGCTCTCAAAGCCACCTCAATGCTGACATTATTCCAGCCACTGCCATAACCAGGCAACTTTCCGAATTCTCTAGGACTGGAACCAACTGACCATCCAAATTAACGCCAGAGAGATCATTCCCCGCCGCTGTTGCTTTGAATCTCACTTGCAACCATTACTGCTCCCTTTGCCTCTTGTTCTGTGACACCTGTGATCTCGATTCTCCCTCGGCACCTCACCCTCCCCTTTCTGCTCCTCTCCTGCAGACGGCAACCAGCCCAGCTCGTCCCTGCCTCCCTAACCTGTCCTTCCTCCCACCCCAAGCCGCACCTCCATCTCCTACCGACCAACCTCATCCCGCCCCCTTGACCTGTCCGTCCTCCCTGGACTGACCTATCCCCTCCCTAACTCCCCACCTACACTCACCTTTCCTGGCTCCATCACCGCCTCTTCGACCTGTTTGTTTCCTCTCCACCTATCCTCTCCTCTATCCGCCTCCCACTCTCTCCCTATTTATTTCAGAACCCCCTTCCCCATTTCTGAAGGAGGGTCTAGGCCCGAAACGTCAGCCTTCCTGCTCGGCCTGCTGTGTTCATCCAGTTCTACACCTTGTTATCTTGACGTCAGACCCTGGCGGGTTTCCCCGAGCAATTTTCCGTTGTCGTTCCAGACACAATCCAGATGGAGGGGCTCGGCCAGGCTCTGAACTCCCAGACAGTTGCATTTCCGTGGCACCTTTCCCAAATGCGGGGCATCCCGGAGTGCTTTTGCAGCCAACAAAGCTCTTCTGCAAGTGTCATCGCCATGGAAAATGCTGATGCACAGCAAGATCCCGCAAACAGCCGTAAGCTCGGCAACCAGTAGCACTGCTGACCCAGGTTCGATTTCAGCCTCTGTGTGTGTGTGGAGTTTGCACACTTTCCTTGTGTCTGCGTGGGCTTCCTCCCACAGTCTGAAGATGTGCAAGTTAGGTGCATTGGCTATGCTAAACTGTCCCATAGCATTCAGTGGTATGCAGGCTAGGTGGGTTAGCCATGGGGAATGCAGGGTTACAGCGGTGGGGTGGGTCTGGGTGGGATGCTCTTCGGACGGTTGGTGTGGACTTGAAGGGCCGAATGACCTGCTTTCACACTGCAGGGGATTCTATTCTGTTCTAATGGAGGATAGCTCCCAGATACCCCAGGGGGCGGGGCAGCGGAGGGGGTGGGGAAACACTTTCACCCCTCCCCCTCATCAACACCCTCTCTGCCAAACAGTGACCGTGGGATCTTTTTCACGCCACAGTGGATTTCCAGGGCAAAGAGTTGGGTTGAATACCTCCAGTTGTTGGGGGCTTGAATTGACCACCTTCTTGCGTGAGCATGAGACACAGCAGCAAATAGTTAACAACACACCCTTGGGGACTGTGATGCTGGAAAGGCTCAGCAGATGATTCCCCAGCTTGTGCTCGGTCTCTATAATCATCCCTGACACATGCAGAAGGCAGAGTATTATATAAAATGGATGGGAACACACAGCAACTGCAGAATCACAAGTAGCCCTTTCTCAAATTGGGAGTTAATCGTCTTGGATACTGATCAACCCTGTCGTCAGTTGTCAATCGAGGGGCAACTCACATTGTCCCTGCATCCGGCCTCCATCCACCACCTTGTGCCCAAACAGCTCCTTCCACATTTAGCATCGACCTAACATCCTTATGAACACGACCCTCCCCTGTCAGTTCTAAAGAATTAAGATTAGTGGACATTCATGAAAAGGTCATGCGCTGCATCTCAAACAGAAGCATTTGGACGCATACAAAGGTGAATTTTCTCTCCTGCTAGGAACAGGGAAAAAAAAAACATCCTAATGAAAGGATCTGAATCATGACAATTGGATAGTTTACCTTTATTGCTGGAAGCTTGTTTCTGTCGTGGAGAAGGGCTGGTGAGATTTTCTTTATCCTTTTTTTTAAATTTGGTGTGGCCTCTGAAGATAGATGTCTCTCCTTCTGTATTAATAATTATAGGTTACCTCTGCTCAGTCTCACTGCCTCTCCTTGCACTGGTCAGAGCTGGATGGAATGAGCCCTTGTCAGCGACAGGGTGGAAACCCCACACAGTTTGATTGGGGGAGGCCCAGCTGTCCATCAAAGTGGTCAAGTGCCACAGAAGCCAATCAGAACCCTGCATCTGGAGCATCCAATCAGCTGCAGGGAGGGGCGTGTCTTAGCTTCCAGTTCCCCACCCTCCCCATTGGTTGTCGTGACATATTTAATCCACCTGGGGGCGCCAGCAGCGCAAGTGGATGGACAGCAGAAATGTGGGAAGGTGGGGGGAGCCATTTGGCCCATTATGACCCTGGGGAGGGGTAGGATCATTCAGCCACACTCGGCCCTGCTCTTCTGATCCGCCTCCCAGCAAATGCTTATCTCAATCCCTTCCGAGTGTTATCACTGAATCTGCCTGGCCCACCCTGTTGATGTATGAATTGTGGACTGGATTCACTCTCCCCACCCTAACCACCTATCCTCCCTCTTTCTCCTGAGCCTCTCTTCTCGCAGTGGACACAGGTAGCTCTCTGAAACAGTAGTGATAGAGATCGCATACGTTGGTAAAACAGCCAGCAGCTGTGGCCAACACACAAAACATGCACGGAAAGTCACGTTAACTTGAGGCTTGGAAACAAGTTGCTGGCCCTGTGTTCTCAGCATCATCGTGTCCAGCTGGCAAACATAGCCAAGTTTACAGCTGGCAAGAAACCAAGCTCAACCACTTGGCATCCTTGCTGTCTGTGTCATGCTCTCAATGTGGCTGTTACGGCAGTTTCACATAGCGGCTAATCTCCCGTGCGTGTTGGCACTCATCAAGCAATGGCATCTCTGCTGGTTTTTATAGGATGGAGAACGGTCATATTCCTCCAAGGATTATTCTGTGCGGTGGTCCATTGACCAGTAAGACATCCAAAGTGCAGCTTCAACGATGCTTACACCCCAAGGAATGTGATGGCTTAAGATGGCAGCTCATCACCGTCTTCTCCAGGGTACTGGGGGATGGGCATACAAGATAGCGCCCACAGTCCGTGAACAAATTTTAACAAGTCCTTCTAAGACTAATATGACGGCTGCAGAAATAGGTGTTCAAGCATAGGAAACACTAGATGATGGCAGAGGAAGATAGCCACATCACTCTAGGCCATTGGTAGGCCCCTTATATCGATATCAATGGAAATGAGGATTTTTTTATTCATTTGTGGGATGTGGTGTTGCTGGCTGGCCAACATTTCTTACCCATTCCTAGTTGCCCTTGAGAGGGTGGTGATGAGCTGCCTTACTGAACCACCGCAGTCCTCCTGCTGTGGGTTGACCCGCAATGCCATTAGGGAAGGAATTCCAGGATTTTCAGCCAGCAACAGTGAAGGAACGGTGATATATTTCCAAGTCTGGATGGTGAGTGGCTCAGAGGGGAACTTGCAGGGGGTCCTTTATTCATTTATTCTTTATTCATTCATGGGATGAAGGTATCGCTGACCACACAGCATTTATTGCCCATCCCTAAGTGCCCAGAGGGCAGTTTAGAGTCAACCACATTGCTGTGGGTCTGGAGTCACATATAGGTCTGACCAGGTAAGGATGGCAGTTTCCTTCCCTAAAGGACATTAGTGAACCAGAGGGGTTTTTCCCGACAATCGACAATAGGTTCGTGGTCATCCTTAGATTCTTAATTCCAGATATTTTATTGAATTCAGATTCCACCACCTGCCATGGCAAGATTCGAACCTGGGACCCCAGAACATTATCTGGGTCTCTGGATTAACTGTCCAGTGATAATACCACTAAGCTATTGTCCGTCCCTAAATAGGATGGAGGGAAGGTCATTGATGAAGCAGCTGAAGATGATTGAGCCTAGTACACTACCCTGAGGAACTCCTGCAGAGATGTCCTGGAGCTGAGATGACTGACCACAACCACGAATATCTTCCAATCTGTCAGGTATGACCCTAACCATCGGAGAGTTTGCACCCGATACCCATTGATTCCAGTTTTGCTGGGGCTCCTTGATGCCACACTCGGTCGAACACAGCCTTGATGTCAACGGCTGTCACTCTCACCTCAGGAATTCAACTCTTCTGTCCATGTTTGAACCAAGGCTGTAATGGGGTCAGGAGCTGAGTGGCCCTGGAGGAACCCAAACTGGGCATCACTGAGCAGGTTATTGCTGAGCAAGTGCTGCTTGATAGCGCTGTTAGTGACACCTTCCATCACTTTACTGATGATCGACAGTAGCCTGATGGGGCGGTAATTGGCCGGGTTGGATTTGTCCTTTTTTTTATGTACAAGACACACTTGGGCAATTTTCCACATTGTAGGGTATATACCAGTGTTGTAACTGTACTGGGACCTCTGCTGTTTGTGATATATATAAATGGCTTAGATAAAAATGTAGATGGGAGTGTTAGTAAGTTTAGTAAATTTGCAGATAACACAAAGATGGGTAGAATTGTGGATAGTGTAGAAGGTTGTCAAAGGATACAGCTGGATATAGATCAGTTGCAGATATGGATGGGGAAATGGCAGATGAGGTTAATATGTGCAAGTGTGAGGTGCTGCACTTTGGGAGATCAAATGTTATGGAAAGGTATACAGTTAATGGCAGGACTCTGAACAGCATTGAAGCACAGAGGGATCTTGGGGTTCGAGTCCATAGCTCCCTAAAAGTGGCCATAACAAGTAGATAGGATGGTAAAGAAGGCGTATGGCATGCTTGCCTTTATTGGTCAGGGAATTGAGTACAAGAGTCAGGATGTCATGTTGCAGCTTTATTGAGTTCTTCGAGAAGGTGACCAAACAGGTGGATGAGGGTAAAGCGGTTGATGTGGTGTATTTGGATTTCAGTAAAGCGTTTGATAAGGTTCCCCATGGTAGGCTATTGCAGAAAATACGGAGGCATGGGATTGAGGGTGATTTAGCGGTTTGGATCAGAAATTGGCTAGCTGTAAGAAGACAGGGGGTGGTGGTTGATGGGAAATGTTCATCCTGGAGTTCAGTTACTAGTGGTGTACCTCAAGGATCTGTTTTGGGGCCACTGCTGTTTGTCATTTTTATAAATGACCTGGATGAGGGCGTAGAAGGATGGGTTAGTAAATTTGCGGATGACACCAAAGTTGGTGGAGTTGTGGATAGTGCGGTAGGATGTTGCAGGTTACAGAGGGACATAGATAAGCTGCAGAGCTGGGCTGAGAGGTGGCAAATGGAGTTTAATGCGGAAAAGTGTGAGGTGATTCACTTTGGAAGGAGTAACAGGAATACAGAGTACTGGGCTAATGGTAAGATTCTTGGTAGTGTGGATGAGCAGAAAGATCTCGGTGTCCATGTGCATAGATCACTGAAAGTTGCCACCCAGGTTGATAGCGTTGTTAAGAAGGCGTACAATATGTTAGGTTTTATTGGTAGAGGGATTGAGTTTCGGAGCCATGAGGTCATGTTGCAGCTGTACAAAACTCTGGTGCGGCCGCACTTGGAGTATTGCGTACAGTTCTGGTCACCGCATTAAAGGAAGGATGTGGAAGCATTGGAAAGGGTGCAGAGGAGATTTACCAGGATGTTGCCTGGTATGGAGGGAAGGTCTTATGAGGAAAGGCTGAGGGTCTTGAGGCTGTTTTCGTTAGAGAGAAGAAGGTTAAGAGGTGACTTGATAGAGACATACAAGATGATCAGAGGATTAGATAGGGTGGACAGTGGGAGCCTTTTTCCTAGGATGGTGATGGCTAGCACGAGGGGACATAGCTTTAAATTGAGGGGTGATAGATATAGGACAGATGTCAGAGGTAGGTTCTTTACTCAGAGAGTAGTAAGGGCGTGGAATGCCCTGCCTGCAAAAGTAGTAGACTCGCCAACTTT